GCCGGCGCTGTGGCGTAGCGGGTAAAGCCACCGCCTGCAGTGCCGGCACCCCATATGGTCCTGGCTGCTCCAATTCCGATCCGGCTTTCTGCTACGGCCTGGGAAAGCAGTAAATGGCCCAAGTCCTTGAGCCCTTGCACCCACGTGGGAGACCTGGAAGAAGCTCCTGGCTTCAGATCAGTGCAGCTCTGGCCGTTGTGGCCAGATGGGGAGTGACCCAGCAGATGGAAGACCTCTCTCTCTCTCCCTCTCTCTGAATAACTCTGACTTTCAAGTAAATAAATAAATCTTGCACTTGGGTTCCTGCCACCCATGTAGGAGATCTGGATGGTGTTCCAGGCTCCTGGCTGCTGTAAGCATTTGGGGAATGAACTAGTGGATGGAGGATCAATCTCTTTTTCTTCCTGTCATTAAACCTTTTAAATAAATAGAAATCTTAAAAAAAAAGTTGTCTATCCTTATGTATTTGTATATTCTTACTTAGTAAGCCTGTAAAAAGAAAACCTCAGGTGGTTAAATTCTTTAATGAAAAATGATTTAAACATTTTCAAAAATGACAAGCTGGTACAATGGCAAAGTATATCCTTATTTCCTTCTTACTTGCAACAAATAAAGTCCTCCCTGTCAGTACAGCGTCTTCTCCAGTGTAGACACTGTAGAACAGTGCTGTGTATGCAGGCTTCTTACCATTCTCCTGACTGCTACAAAGTTAGGTTAGTGTTCAGTTACTCAATAAAATCCAAGAAAGGTAATGAACATAACAATTAGTTGGTAGGTTATATGCTGTTTTCCTCATTTATTTATTTTTTAAAAATGTATTTATTTGAAAGGCAGAGTTAGAGGGAGAGACAGGAGAGAAAATCCCAGATGGCCACCAATAGCCAGGGCTGGGCCAGGCCAAAGTCAGCGGCCAGGACTACCTGGGTGCAGGGGCCCAAGCACTTGGACCGTCTTCTGCTGCTTTTCCCGGGCCATTAGCAGGGAGCTGGATCAGAGGTGGAGCAGCTGGGACACGAACTGGCACCTGTATGGGATGCCGGTGTAGCCGCCAGCAGCTTTACCGGCTACGCCACAACGAAGGCCCCTGTTTTCCTCTTTACCTAAACTTCCATTAACAAGTCTCTATTTAATTAACAAACTAAGGATTAAGTGGATTGAAGTAAAATCCCATTGACAAAACAACTTTGCTGTCAGTTAATTAACAAGAAACAAACATGGCTGACTACTCTGAAACAGCAGGCCTGGGACCCCTGACCGCTCCTCATTTTCCTACCTGTCCTCACCTCACCTGAATTTAAAAACAGGAGAGAAAAAATTAAGGGAATTAAAAAAAATTAAAAAAAAAGGAGGGGGAGTTCAGATCCCCCTGAACTCGGGTTATCCTTTAATACTTACCTTCTGCTTTGTTCTTGGGCGGGGAGGGGGAAGGAGTACAGGCAAAATTTTCAAAAGTGGGTCAGCACCCAAAAGCCAAGTGACTGGTGAGAAATGAATTAGCGCCTTCACAGACCACAGAATCCTCTTCAGCTCGGCTCCTACCCGGTCCCCAGGGAATAAAAGCAGTGAAGCCACCAAGCTAACCCGGGTTTGCTGCTCTCGGCTTCCCCCTTAAGAAATGCAGACGGCTCAGCCACCTTCTCCCTCTGGGACAACTCGGCACCGACCTGCCAAACTCACATCCTTCGGGAAAGACAAGCAGCCCCACTCATCTCCACTTCTAACACTCTCTGCTCTTTAACACTAAACACTGTCCCTGTCCCCATTTCCAGCTCCTACGCAGGGGCACTAGTCTCGAAACCCAGCTTTTTCTGAGAAGCGAGTATTTGCGGCTCTGCAGGCGCTGCCACCCACCCCTCCGGAAAGCAGTCCTGACAACTCCTCAGTGCACGTGGCTGTGTGCCGATAAAACTTTATTAATAGGTGACACGAAAAATGTGACTTTCACGCGGTCCTCCCCCAACCATTTCTTTTTCTTTTTTTTTAACTTCCACAATCTTTTTTTTTTTTTTTTTAGATTTTTATTTATTTGACAAGTAGAGTTACAGAGAGAGAGAGAGAGAGAGAGACAGAGACAAAGGTCTTCCTTCCATTGGTTCACCCTCCAAATGGCCGCTACAGTCGACACTGTGCCAATCCAAAGCCAGGAGCCAGGTGCTTCCTCCTAGTCTCCCATGCGGATGCAGGTGCCCAAGCACTTGGGCCATCCTCCACTGCCTTCCGGGGCCACAGCAGAGAGCCGGACTGGAAGAGGAGCAACCAGGACTAGAACCCGGCACCCCTATGGGATGCTGGTGCCACAGGCGGAGAATTAACCTAGTGCACCACAGTGCCGGCCCCCCAACCTTTTCAAACTGTAGAACACACCACTGGCTCCCAGGCTGCTCAGAGGCAGGGCTGGGCCTGTGGGTCTCAGGTGCTCTGAGCCCCTGCCACTAGGGGTCCCTTCCCATCCCTGCCTGGAGAGCTTCGGGAAGTGGGCAAGAACCGACAGGTGTGCCAATCAGCACAGCCTGACCCCGCCCCCACACCGCAGTTCAATCCTTTGCACTGCCCCTCAGCTGGCACAACTTCTAAGCGCAGAGAGCAGGAGCACCCGAGGGTCCGAGCACGTGGCCCTCTGTGCTCCACCTCCTGGGCGGAAGGATGCCCGTGCTGGCCAGTCTCCCCTCCTCCCCCTCCGGCCCCGCCCCTCCTGCCCACCAGGGGCCTCCTCTTCCTCCTCAGGCTCCCCCCCCCAACATTCCTGTAGGAGCAGTGGGTCCCCACTGCACAGCCTTTTTGGGCCAAAACCTTCCTCGGAGAGGAGCCACCTGGTATGCGACCATGTCCCTGAATCAGGGACAATTCAGATAGAACAGCAGACCAACCCACATTCTTCAGGTGGCTCAGCGCCCCCCCCCCCCCCCCCCAGCTCTGCTTCTGCCTTCACAGTTAGTGGTGCGACAGTGACAAAGTACAAGGAAAGTGACACTGCAGATGCCTAGCTCAGTAGGTATTAGCATATGAAGCCACTGCAAAAAAATCCATGGCAGGGACCGGCGCTGTGGCATCCCATATGGACACCGGTTCAAGTCCCCGCTGCTCCACTTCTGATCCAGCTCTCTGCTGTGGCCTGGGAAAGCGGCAGAAAATGGCCCAGGTGCTTGGGTCTCTGCACCCGTGTGGGAGACCCGGAGGAGGCTCCTGGCTTCAAATCAGCCCAGCTCTAGCTGTTGAGGCCAACTGGGGAGTAAACCAGAGGATGGAAGACCTCTCTCTCTGCCTCTCTGCAACTCTGCCTTTCAAATAAATAAATCTTAAAAAAAAAAAAAAATTCATGATAGGAACGGGCAGGCGTCTGGCCTAGCAACTGAGACACCGCACCCCACGTCAGAGCGCCTGGGCTGGGGTCCCGCCGCCGTGCACCATGGGAGACAGCGGCGATGGCTCAGGTCCTTGGTCCCTTGCCACCCAGGTGGAAGGCCTGGACAGAGTTCCAGATTCCAGGCTCTGGCCTGGCCCCGTCCTGGCCACTGGCGGACATTGGGGGGAGAGGGGTGTCAAAGAGCAGATGGGAGCTCTCCCTGTTTCTGCCTCTCAAATTAAAAAACAGAAAGTCAGGTTTATGGAACAAATGGATTAAACGATGCTTATTTTAGTGCAGAAACGATTCTGAAATGCCCGTACCAGGTGTGTATGCATTTGAACAGCCTCAGGAGCCTGGATTTCAAGGTCTGCTTCGCACCCAAGCGAACCTACCTTTCAAGCTCCACGTCCTGAGGCGCCCTGGCATTCACAAGCGGCCGTCACCTTTCAGACCACCCCGGGGGAGGGGCGGGCATCGGGCTCGCTCACTCCCGGAACATTCGGGGAGCACACGTTCTGTCCCAGGCTGCGGGCAGCAGCGTGACGGCCCCCACCCCCTGCGCCTGCGCCTGCGCTGGACCGCGGACCACGGCGAGAGCCAGCCATCCCCGACGGCGGCTGCACGGAGGTGGCCAGGGTCCCCGCTGCACATCTAAAGGCGCAAGGGGACACCCTGACAGCACGCAACTTTACCCCTGCGCCGAGCGACGCCGGCAGGTCCCACGGGCGCCCAGCCCACGGATGTGTGTCTGCCACCAGAGGGACCGCTCGGTCCCCCTTAACCGCCGCTGTGGCATCGGGGACGTCTGGTTTTACTTTTTTTTTTTTTTTTTTTTTACACTAAGAAATTCAATCCCAACAGCCCCAGGGATCTTCCCGAGGACAAAAGCAGGAAAAACAAAAACCCTGGCATCAGGGCGTGGTCCTCACCACAGCCCAGCTGGGGGAGAGCGACGCCCTTCCTTAGGGCTAAAAATATCCGGGGGCCGGTCCTGCGCCCCGGGGGCAGGCGGGTAGGAGGAGGAAGGGCTGGGGGGCCCCGCCGGGACACCCCCCGCAAGCGGCGCCCCAAGCTCACCCTGGAATGGGTTCCTGGCCCCCTGAGGACCCCAGGACTACGCGCGACGTCCACCACAGGGTGGGGACCCCACGCGCGTGCCTGGGAGCCCAGATTTCTTGCAACGGACCCAGTCCGGGTTGGGGGAGGGGACGCCTGGAGGTCCCGGGGTGCTTTCAGGCGGCGGTGCTGTGCGACCTTGGGCAAGTCACCTAACCTCTCTGGGCCACCGTCCCCTCCTCTGTCCAAGACGGATGGGTCAGCAGATGCCCTCAGGTCTAAAGAAGGTAAAAGCTCCGCGGTTCGCCCCAGAGAAAAGCGAAGGCGGCGGACTCCGGATGCGCCAAGTTTAAACTCAGTTCCCGAGGAGAGCGGGTGGTGGCGGCGGGCGAGGAGGACTCTCGCCCGCCCGCCCGGCGGGTTCCCCGAGGGCCCGCCCCGAAGCCCCCGCGCCGGGCTCCGCTCACCTCCAGAGACGGGTGGGCTCGGACGAGGTCCCCGGCGGACTGCGGCAGCCGCACTCGCCGCCCCTCAACCAGCAGCGGCATCGCGGAGGCGGAGGCGGCCTCCCCAGCCCCGGGCCGCCCGCCGCCCCCGCCCCTCAGCCGCCGCGGCCCGCCCCGCCCTGCCCTGTCGCGGGCGCTGTCGGGAAGTAGAGTCCTGACAGAGACGCGGCCCCTGAAGAACTGGGAGAATCCAGCACGGTGGCCGCACGGACTCACGGGAAATGTAGTCCAAACGTAAGGAAGCACCACCAGAAGTGCCCGCGGCCCGAAAGGGGTGCTGGGAAATGTAGTTTCAAAAGCGTGGGAGGGAGGGAGGAATTTAGAAAGTCGCCCACGAGGAGCTGCGACACCAGGAAAGCCTTTGCCCTCACGAGTGGGCCCACGTGGCTTGAGGGCGGGTATGGGATCTGCTTGCTTCACTTTAAATCATTGTTTCAGATACCTGCTTCTCCAGTGCGGACCTTGCTCCAGTTTGAGTTTGGGACCAGGGCTGTGCTGCCCCATAGTGTTGTCTTCAGTAAGCAATGAATGTAAACCGTTTTAACCGGGGACGACAGATCCCCACCTGTGCTAGCGCCACATAGTGAGACCATCAGTAACACTTTCTGCTTCAGTGTCGTAAGGCACCCATCGATGGGCTAGGAGCCCAGGAGCAGGACCAGTAGGACACTGTACAGCCGTCTGCTGAGACCAGTCCCCCCACTCCCGTGGTGGGGTTCTCATTTCAAACAGACCCAGCTCGACATCACCTTAACCAAAGTAGTCAGCCGTGCGATGAAGTGGAGCCAGCTCACGCAGAGCAGAAACTCCATCAGATTGGCATATCTGGGTTCCACTCCTCCTCCCTCAGCCAGCCTCCCCTCCACCTACGTAGCCCACTCAACAAAAATTCTAGCAAGTGAAAAACCGACTCCGGGGGCCGACTTTGGTGGCAGAGTGTTACACGCCTTCGCCTGTGGCGCCGGCATGCCCGCCTGGACGCTGCTCCTGTCCCATCCAGCTCCCTGCTGAAGCACCTGGGAGAACAACAGAGCATGCTAAGTTCTCGGGCCCCTGCACCCCTGTGGGAGGCTCGAATGGCACCTGGCGTCCGCCTGGCCCAGCTCTGGCCACTGAGCCATTGGAGGAGCCATTTCTCTGTCTCTCCCTCTCTTCTTTCAAGTAAATAAAATCAATCTTTAAAAAAAAATTACTACAGGAGACAGCTCATGATGCCCCACAGCCCCAGCTCACCCAACTTTTCCCTTCAAACAACTGTTTCTAGCTATCAGGAAAGTATTTCTGATAACTCCTCAAAAACATAGAGGCTGGCATCAACAGCTGGTCATCGCAGGTGCAGTAACTTGCCCACTCTACCATAATTGTGGAGCCAAGGTTAAATCCAGCTTTGTGTGTCTCCAAAGCCAGTGCTCTCCATCCATCTCTTAAGTATACTGCTAGATAGTGGGACTTGTGAGCCACTCACTGAAATGCAGGTAACATGAAATCCCAGGTAGGAAGCGCCAGGTTAAGACCAGAGTTTGAATCCAGGGTGATGTGTGACTGAGCAAGTTACCAACTTCTCTCAGCTTTGGAATAGGGATGAGACCAGCACCTATATAGACACTTGCTACTGAAACTACAGATTCGTCGATAAAGTGAGATATTTTGAGATGTAAAGGTTGAGAATGTCTCATGGTGTCTGCCTAGGGTTGATGCAGCTTGCCTTAATGAACTGGTTTTTAACGTCTGGGTGATCTTCCCATTTCAGAGTCCTGTGTTAAATGATGGAGTCTGACAACAAGAAGGAACCCACTGGAGCCACCTCCCTGCTTCAGCCGCATTTAGTCTTTAAGTCGTGAGCAAGCACTAGGTTTCTGATTTTGTACCAATCATGAAGACACAAAGCCTCTTCTCTCACCACTGAAATAGGAAGCCTACCCACCCACCTCCTAAGATGGATCATTATAGGGCCAGTGCTGTAGCATAACGGGCACCATCATCCCATATTGGTGCCAGTTCTGGTCCTGGCTGCTCCTCTTCTCAATCCAGCTCTCTGCTATGGCCTGGAAAAGCAGTAGAAGATGGCCCAAGGGCCTGGTCCCCTGCACCCATATGGGAGACCATGAAGAAGCTCCTGGCTTTGGATTGGCTCAGCTTCGGCTGAGTGAAGCAGTGGACAGTGAGCCCGTGGATAGAAGACCTTTCTCTCTGTCTCTCCCTCTCTCTGTAACTCTACCTCTCAGATAAATAAATCTTTAAAAAAAAAAATCATTACAAGTTCAAAGAAGATATATAGGGAAGCGTCTTTATTTGAAAGGCATGAGAGATCTCCCATTCACTGATTCATTTCCCAAATGCCTGTAACTGAGAAGGCTGAGTCAGGCCAAAACCAGGGGCCAAGAACTCAGGTGGGGGCTCCCTCACGGGTGGCAGTGGCAGGAACCCAAGCACTCGAGCCAGGTTGCGCATCAGCAGGAAGCTGGATGGAAGCGGAGCTGGAACTCAAGCACATCCTTGATACAGGATGCAGTCTTCATGTCTGTGTCAAATGCTTGCCACGTCTTCCGTCTAGAGGCTGCATCCCTTGGTCAGTAGGCTGTGACTGGGGCCGGCAGTGTGGCGCAGCAGTCAGACGCTAGTTCTTTCACACTTGCATACTTTCAGTCACTTCCCAGGAAGGAAGACCAACCAGAGCACAGATACATGGATGGAGCCCAAAGCTTGCTTCTTAGGAGAAAAGGCCCATTGTTTTCATGTCACTTCCAAGGAGACTTCACACTTTCTTTTCCCACAGATGTTCCTTCAAAGCATGTAACCTTTTTGGAAAAGTGCTTGTTTCTCTTGGACCTGTTCAAACCCAACTGGATGTGATCAGATGATGCCCTGGAAGCCACCCCACCACAGGACGCATTCCTGAACACCTGCAACATGCCAGCTGTATTTCCCCCTCTTTAATCATGAGCTCTCAAGAGCAGGTCTCCATTACAAAAACTACAGTTCAATGCACCGAATCAGCAAATAAGTACACAGACACAGAAAAAGAACATCTATGTGAGAGGTCTTTTTATTGGGGTTCCCCCCTTTTTACTGGCATCATGAAAAGTTTCAGATTAACCGTGTTATTATTTTATTTTTACAGTGTAATTTTTTCTCAAAGTCCTTTCAAATTTTACAGACCTATTTGCAAATATATCCTACTTTAAATCTACTTTTCCAACCCACAAAGACCCACTGACTATTAACTGTAGTGAATACATTGACACATTTTATCCAGTATACAAAACCCCACCTCTCTGTCAGCAAATAGAAAGAGAACCTTAAGATTCTTAATGACTGTCTGAGTCACTGAAAGAAAAATCTCCAATATGCAAAACTTCTTAAAGCATTAAAATTTATGTTTTCCAAAAAGATATTTACAGACTGAAATTCAGACTCTACACTGCCATTATATGTAATTTATACAAGACCCCTAGGAAAGAGGAAGTAGTTAGTTCATTACAAAAGATCTGTGAACAAGAAAATACTAATTGCCTTTAAATAAATAGAAGTTTCAGAAAAATAAATATGCTTAAAGATGGTCATTTTCACAAATAAAGAAGTATACACAGAAGGAACCAAGGGAGCATATGCTGGAGTTCCAAAAGGCCTCTGGCAGACTTTGCACACAAGTGGTTTGACAGCGAGGATGTCGGAGACCCCCCTCAGGGTTTAGTTATAAAAACGCAGTCTTTGCTAGAAAAGAGTTCACTGGGCTGCATCCGTACCACGCACAGCCACGGTAACTCTGGGCCCATCTGGCAAAACACTGCCACCAAATCACGCACAAAATGTTTTTTTCCATGTGGACAAAATGCTCAAAAAAACCAACTGATGCTGGTCAACAAGAACTCGACATACCTGCTGCAGGTGTGAAGTCTCAGGTCTAATGGGATCTTGCCAGTCAGAGTTCAAGCTCATTTCCAGTCTTTATCAATGGCAGTCACCTGGACCTCCATTTTTCTTTTAAATCCGTTTTTTTACTGTGCTGAGTATATTATCTGTTATATATCTGTTATCATTCTGTTCCCCTCAATCCTTTCTCTCCCCACTTCTGGCTGTTACGGGTCTCTGAAGTCCCTGGGATCACCGTCAGGGCCAGCTCCAAACCTGAGTGTCCTGGACCAGCTCTGGCCTCTCCCACTCTCCTTCTATCTTTTCTGCACCTACTGAGATCCCAACACACAGATACACTCACAGCAGAAGGTAAAGAACGTCTTTAAATCTTATCAACGAAGTCCTGCATCTATGACAAAAATCTCTGTCAGTTTAAAAATCCATCTGTTAAAAAACAGGGTGCTGCTGCTATTAGAAATTACACAGTAATTATGTCAAAAGGCTGTAGCACAAAACAAGTATACACTGAACGTGCAAAGCCTTCAACATCTGTCATCAAGCCCACAGTAAAATATTGCACATGATATTCAGTCTTCTCAACTTCTGTCTCTACAGGGAATAAAAACAAAGCAAAACGTCTGCTCAGACACTGGGTGAAGTGTCACTTGAGACCTCGACTCACTGCGGTTCAATGCCACCCTAACACTGTGCACCTGGGTCCTGATGGCTGCAATGCGGAGAAGTCTGTCTCAGTCACAGATCCTCGTGCTCACAGGGGACTGGTCGGGCAGGTACAGCACAGGCGGGGATCCCACACTACTTGAAGGGCTTCGGAAATGCGGATCCAAGGAGCTGGGCGTAATTCCAATCACCGTGTCATTCTGGGGCACTTCACCTTTCAAAAAGTCATCATCTTCATCCTCCACCACCTCCTGCAGAAAGCACAGAGGTGAGCGCTGGGATACACCGGCAGTTTGAAAAGCTTAAGAATTCCTTTCCTCAGGAATGTGCTACTAATGTGAAAATGACGAAGAAAAAAAAATTTCTTATAACTACATTTTAATTTTTTTTTTTTTTGACAGGCAGAGTGGACAGAGAGAGAGACAGAGAGAAAGGTCTTCCTTTACCGTTGGTTCACCCTCCAATGGCCGCCGCAGCCAGCACGCTGCGGCCGGCGCACCGCGCTGATCCGACGGCAGGAGCCAGGTGCTTCTCCTGGTCTCCCATGGGGTGCAGGGCCCAAGCACTTGGGCCATCCTCCACTGCACTCCCTGGCCACAGCAGAGAGCTGGCCTGGAATAGGGGCAACCGGGACAGAATCTGGCGCCCTGACCGGGACTAGAACCCGGTGTGCCGGCACCACAAGGCGGAGGATTAGCCTAGTGAGCCGCGGCACCGGCTGACGAAGAAAATATCTTAATTTCAAAAAGTAAACCCAGTTCCACAGTACAAATCGCTCATACGGCGCACTAGGTTAATCCTCCACCTGTGGCGCCGACTTCCCATATGGGCGCCAGTTCTAGTCCCGGCTGCTCCTCTTCCATCTAGCTCTCTGCTGTGGCCTGGGAGGACAGTGGAGGATGGACCAGGTGCTTGGGCCCTGCACCCCCATGGGAGACCAGGAAGAAGCACCTGGCTCCTGGCTTTGGACTGGCGCAGCTCCATCTGTTGTGGCCATTTGGGGGTTGAACCAAAGGAAGGAAGACCTTTCTCTCTTTCTCTCACTGTCTGTAATTCTACCCGTCAAATGAATAAATAAAAATCTAAAATAAACAAATAAAACAAGCAAAAAATAAACCAAATCACTCTTATGACGGCTTCTCTCATTTTGCCCAAGGCTTGTGTAAAGTCTGGTTCTGGCACGTGGCAGGGCATTCCACTGATTAGGCACACTATGGCTGAGCTGTAACGTGGAAATAAACGTGCAACAAAAACACAGAATAATGCCATCATCATGAGGTTCTGTTGTCTCCTTTGGCCTTCGTGTTTCTGCCACAGCCCCTGTGCTACTGGAGGTCACATTGCGGATCTGCCTCTTCACCCCCACTCCTGAAGGCCAAGACAACTGATGTAACTTCTGAAATAACCTTAACATAAAGCAATCAACTGGAGATTTTACTTAGGGGAGATAACAAGTGGTAAAGATCTAAAAATGTGTTCAGCTAAGTTCCATCTCCACTTCCTGAAGTCAGTATGTGAAGTGTCTGGTTTATATAATTCATCAAAACACGAAGAATTTGGGGTGGGTTTCAGTCTAGTGGTTAAGACGCTCACACCCCACATGGAGCGCCTGGGTTCAAGTCCTGGCTCTGGTTCCTGAGTCCAGATTCCCACTCACGCAGACCCTGGATGGCAGCGGGCACGGCTCACGTAGTTA